AGGTTGATCACACAAGAGGGGTGTTCACTAATAGAAGTTTTACTGTAGATTTTTTTACTATTTTTCACTTTTCCTAGTGAATTTTAGTACTTTTTCAGACTTTCAGTAGTACTTAATAGTATTTTTTAGTCAAAAAGTACGAAAATTACATAAAAAGGTTCACTTATAAGTAAACCCCCCCTCATAATAAAAGACCCCCGGGGTCTTCTATTATGAATTTCATATCATATTCCAAAAGGGGTCTTCTAATATGAATTTCTGTGCACAGACGACCAGAAAGATAATATATTCTCTCTCCATGAACAGAAACCCTTACTGTCTACTTTTATTTTATGATTCTGTCGTCGACAAGACATCATTTTGCAGAAATAATATTTATACAAATAATTCTAAGAAAATTTCGATGAAGAATGTATTACAAGACCCGGGTCTTCTATTATGAATTTCACATAATATTCCAAAAGGGGTCTTCTATTAGGGGAGGGTATTGTAATATATGGGGGTCTTCTATTATGAGGGGGGGTTTACTATTTCCTGTTTGAAAAAAACTATTCAAAGTACTTAATAGTGTTTCTTTCATACTTTTTTTCTTTTTTACACGGGTAGTGTTCCTGATCCTGTTGCTGAATCTCCTGAGGTCGCTGCTCTTCGTGCGACTTATGATCGTGATTATGTTCATGGTGATTGTGCTTCTCGTAATCGTTATGCTCATGCTTATGCTGCTATTGCTTTTGCTAATCCTAATATTCTTCCTCTTCCTATGTATTGTATTGATAAGGATACTCCTTATGAAATACCACATCCTCGTGTCTGGCGAGGTTTTTCCTAGATCATAATAAAGTCAGACGGTTTTAGTGGATTAACTTCTAAAAGAAGTACATATTTGTAACGACAAACTGGTTGAGTAGATTACCACCACCTTCGATACCGATGTTTATTCAGCTACTTCATATATCCACAGTGTATCAACTTTACATATAACACACGTATATATACCAGAGAGAAGCAGACAGGGTTTGTGTGTGCGATTGTGGGTGTGGTTGTGGGTGTGGTTGTGGGTGTGGGTGTGGTTGTGGGTGTGGGTGTGGATGTGGATGTGGGTGTGGATGTGGGTGTGGATGTGGGTGTGGGTGTGGGTGGAGTGTGGGTGTGGGTGGAGTGTGGGTGCAGATGTGCATCGATTCTTACCCCACAAACACAGACACAGCCACAGCCACACCCCACACCCCACACCCACCCGACACCCACACCCACACCCCACACCCACACCCGACACCCACACCCACACCCCACACCCCCCCCCCACCCATACCCACACTCCCACCCACACCCACACCGTTACCGAATCCACTCTAGATCACTTAACTGGATATCGAGTAGTACTTGGTATTCAGTCAGACTGGATGTGGGTGTGGGTGTCAGGGTGTAGGTGTCTGATAGAGGCATAACATGCCCAAAGCCAATCACACCCACACCCTCAAAATCGGTTTCGCAGTCTTGCGCAGCTGTTTCGCCGCCTATGTTGAAAATATTATTATTTCTCTATCTATTTTGTTCATCAGATTATACACAAAAATAGTAAAAATATTTTTGTCACTTTATGGCGTTAAATTATCAATGACGCTCACAAAGGCATACGTGAGGAGAATCAAGAAAAGGAGGATAATCAGGATAGCCAAGACAAACATAACCAACACGTCGAGGATCAGGATCACAGGTGGCACCATTACGTTTTGTAAAAAGCTTGTAAATACGATGATTCCACCAACGATTAATATCCGCCTGCGTCCAACGGTCACGAGTGCAGAGCCAGTTCCATGTGCGAGTATCACCAGTAAAATACCAATCACAACACTTGTTACACGTCGGACAAGCAAGGCCACGACAAGAGAGTTTTTTGTTAAATGCAGTTATTTCTTGAGGTTCTAAATGATAATATCAATAATTGACGCAATCATACAGGGCGAAAATTATAAGTTCACGAAGAGTCTATTAAATAGCGAGTGCATAACTTCCGTACAAATTGTGAGGATATCGTATCGAGATATTATTTTAAAAAACTTGACATCATGTCAGTTGTGGACAATAGGATCAGCTCAGAGGATACATTTCAAGTAGAAATAGAATGGAAGACTTATACAAAACTATCGTGCACTATTTTTCTTAGCAAATTTCTATGTCAACAGATTTCGTTTTGTTAAGGTGAAAAGGTAATTTTCTATCGGGTTACAACTTTTTGAATGTGAAGAAGGAGTAGATAAAGCGGGATTGACTTTTTCTACTTGAATAACAGTCGTCAGGCTTTGCGAGAAAATATTTAACCTCAGAACACGATGGATAAGCCAAAGCACTCAATGATATGCATTGACAATAGAGAAACTTGCATCTGTAAGCAAAGATAAAGAGTATCATACTAACCACCGTCAATATACAGCAAGATAAGCCAGAGTGGCAAGTGGATAAATAATATACGTTGATTAGTCTATGCCCCATGATTGATCATAAACCAACAGTAATAGTTCAAAGCATCATCAATCACAGAATGTCATATGACGAAAATTTTGAAATGTCTTTTATCACAGAACAACAATTAAGTGAAGCTATTTGACTTTTGTATCGTAAAAATATGATTCAGAAACCCTGCGTGTCGATAATCCTAGAAAGTTTTAATATGGGAATATAATGCTCCTTATACAAATATTGGCAACCACGATCCGGAGCGCTTTTTCGATCCAAATAAATAGCTATTTTGCGGTGTTAGTAGGCTGTTAGGGCACATGATTTTTTCATAGAAAATAATGTCTAGTAAACATCTCAGATAGAAAATTTCCAAATTCGCCAGAATCTCACCGTCTTGAGCTTATATGTAGCAATGCCTCCGATACCCTGCTATGAAAGTACATCTTTTTTAATACACTGGATCACATGAAAAAAGTGGGAGACAAAACGTGTCTCATAACACCACTAGCATCGCTCCAAACAGAATCGGTTTGTTGTGTCAGCATCAGAGTGCTCACTCATGTTGGGGTGTCGAATTATGGCAGATAGGCTGATAGTTTTTAATAGAACAGTGCCTTAAGAGACGGTCCATGACTGAATCGAGTATTTTCGTAGTAGGGCGTCATACAATAAATGTTGACCTACCTTTCTGATCATCACAAATGAAAGAGCATGTAAAGAAACCTATAAATCCAAAGTTTTAGCCTTGTGTGAATGAATCTTGAATAGATATGAAAAAAACATTGAAAGTATCTCCATAAAGTTCTAAGATAATTCTGATACTTTTTCTGTTTCCAGTATGCGGTTATTTTTTTTCCTAAAAGTCAATCAAATCAAATTGAATCATACCTCAGAAGACAGAGCAAGTTTCACTCTACAAAACTGTATATTTATATTTTCCTTAAATAGTTTTTAAATATATCTATGGCGGCTCAATATATAAAAAACGACACAAAAATTTTCAAAATTTGGTGCTGTTTTTTAGTATTTCAATGAAAAACAAATATCAAAAGAGATTCGGGCCGACAATAGTTTCTTATGGATTCGATAGAGCGGAAAAAACTGCACATGATGCACCTAAAGAACTATCCAAAAAAGATATGCATAGTACTTTAATTTAATCCAATAGATAAAAGAACATTACGGTTATATAACACTTTTTTATGGTATTTTCGAAATTTGCCAATCAAACGACAATATAATTTAAGATTTTTTCTGAAGCTGAACACTAAATGACAAGTAACGCTCGTCGTTTCGACTCGCTTAGCCCTCGACTGAACAAGATATCATATTCAATTTTTCAGAGACCGTGTAGCAATAGAAGTTCACAAAAATTATGCGAAAACGCAGAGTACTTTTCGAAAATTCTACTAGAAACTTGTATACATTCTAGAACATTCCTCGATAATGCTGTTTACTATAGAGTTCTCTAGGAAAGTAGAAGCTCAGTGGTACCACTAGGTTAAAATAAATCATATTATATCTGATCTCCAATCGAAATATCATACATAAAACAAGCTCTTATTCAAAGTAGTGATAAGACTAGACAGGTAATTTGAATATGTCAATATACATGCACATACTTGAATTAAGACAAAGAAAAGTATATACCAAAAAAAACACTCTTTTATTTCATTCATGTCCACTATCGATACAGCAAATATAAATTCTTTCAGTATGCTTTTATTCCGACGAACTATTCAGTTATTTTGTCCAAACATAAAAACCGGTTCTCATTCTTGACTTGACATAGTATTTTCACCTTTTTGTATCTGATATTCCTTATTCAGACCCATATGACTTCGCCTATTGACTCTTATTCAATGAATCCCAACACTTCGAAGCAACACCTCTGGAGATAACCCAGTGCAGAAGCTAGGCACCACTCGTGGCTAACTGCTGCAACCTCTGATCTTCTTCTCCCATGAAATAGGTCTTTTCACTTAAACCCTATTAACTACCAGATTGCTCTTACTCAGAATATTAGATTTATAACATCATCGCTCCACATGAGCAGTTCCGGACCAATAGTTTCCTATTATTTATTTCGAATTTCTTTAAACCAATAGTTTAGCCAATACGGTAGAGTTTTATTAGGGCTTCTGATTTGGAAAATCTTAGTTGATTATTCTTGATAAATGCAGGTTTCACGTAGATCTTTTGCTAAACAACATTAGAATACGTTCGCAATTTTAGTGACCAGTAGTTCGTCAGCACTTCTCTCAGGCCTTGCTCATAGTCGCTTCTTGCATTATTGGAATACATGAAAACAATCATTGGTTATTCTGCATTTATCTTACAGGCTGTAATTTCACTTACAAGATTCTTTTAATGCTACTTTTCTCGACTTAAGTAGAGTGCACCCCAAAAAAGCCATTTAATGCAGAAACCACTATGAATAAACAGAAGTCCCTCAATGTCGCACATATTAGATTGAGTGCCAGTGGTATGTAAACAATGTTTCATCACACTACGACTTTCTGAAACACTCAACCCATTAGGTCACACTCCCATTCATGTCTGCAACGATATTGGGAAGAGACTACCGCAACTAAACAGCAAATACACACTCGAAATACGCAGAACGATTTTCCGGATTTCGAATTTTAATTTTTTTCAAATACCTATTTCTCAAAAAAATTCGGTTTTACTTGAGACAATAGTTCAGAGAGAAAGGAATGATTTTTTCATTCAAATAAATATTTGAGTTTTTGAACAGTTGACTTCAGATTCAGATTCTCCGACCCCGATTTACGTTCATCAACCTTTATGAAATATCGTACTTTTTCGAAAATCCTTCCCTTGACCCAAAAAAAATCAATTCAAAATTTTGACAAACTGACTTTCAGATTTGGATTTTCCGACCTCGATTCACTTTCGTCAATCTTTATTAAAAATGTTTTTTCCACCTTTGACCCCGACAAGCAAGCAAGCAAACAAACAAACTATTTTTTTTCATATGACCATCCCTTCAGTCGAGGGGAAAAAATCCTCCTGAAATCTGATTGGTCGATTTTAAATAGCCAATCGGGGCCGAGTTTCTATATCTCGATGAAGAGACGCGCGGGGACCCCCACATATACCCATCAATCGACAGAGCATCCTCGATAACCCTAGGATGGGCCCGAACATGCCCATGTGTTGCCCTTACAACAAGCGAAAAAAAGCCTCCTGAAATCTGATTGGTCAATTTTTGGACCAATCAAATGCAGAATTCTATATCTCAATGAAAGAACCGGCAGGGGCCCTTACATATACCCATCAATCGATAGCGCATCCTCGATAATCCTAGGATCGGCCCGAACATGACTATGTGTTGTCCTTACAATA